ACATAAATGCAAACTATAGCCTTACAAGTAGTATTTTAAGACTACCCCAAACTTCCGAAAAATTAAATATAAATGAGATTAACATTTATAAGATATAAAATATATTTTAATTAAACAAAAGGTTCTAATACATATTTTCATGTTATTTATAAATCTTACAGGAGGTATTAAAAAATGTATGGTTGCTTTGCATGCATTAAATTACCAATTAAAGCTTACTTTATGTATCAGTATCACTTAAGAATACATTGCAAGATAGCAGGACTGAGACATTAAGCAATTGAACTGTTCTCTATAAGAAAAAACTGCACTATATAATATATAATTATCCTTCCTTAGATAAAATTTCAAATAGCAATTGTGAATAAATAATGGTAAATTTTAGATTCGTCTTAAAAAAATTGTATTACTGTACATTAAAATAAAAAACAAACAAAAAATTATGCAGCAAATACTGTTCTTAAAGTTGTGTTAATGTAATCTAATTTGATTTATATTACAGACAAAACACTATTTTATAAATCGCAAAATAAGGAACCAGCTACATAAAGAAAACATTTTCTATTTTCTTAAAAGAAGCATGTATATATTTTTCTTTTAACACCTCCTTGCATCCTACCTTCATTTTATTGAAATATTCTAATATGGTTTTAACAGCAGGAGATACAACCATGTGTTCAAAACCAATTATTTAGAATAATTGAAAATTCTTAGGAACTAATCAATGCAAGTTTTTTGTTATCGTATTAATAAATTTTTCTCTTTTTAAAGAAATTATTGAAATGACATGTAATGCCAAAATAGGTTGACGTAGGTTGAACAGCGGTTACTAATTCTGATTAAGCTTACCTTAAACTGCAGCTAAATACAACAACATAGATAATGTTCTGAAGAAACATACACCTCAGATTAATTACAGATAACAATCAACAAACAATATTTATTAAAAATTAGTTTATTACTTCTTTAAACCGTAAACACATTTCCGACATCTTGAAAACAAACGAAACAATTCGATTATTATTATTTTACCCATAGATTTTTCACCTCGTTTTATTATTGTGATCTACTTTACCTGCTCATTTCAATCCTACCTATAGAGTAATCCATAGATTGGATAATTTTAAAAATTATATAATAGTGATTAAATATACACTATTAATATTGTTTTATTATTTTCTTCAAAAGTAACATTACCACATTATGAAAAAAGTTGCTTTATAAAAATTCAATTGTATTTTAATAAATATAAAAATTACATCTTCAAAAAAGACTTGCTTAATTCGTCAGTTACATTACATTACAAAAAATCTTATTTATGAGAAAGGATACAAAACATAGAGCGTTGAATAGATATATAATACTTATCCTCTGTTGTCTATTATCACAAAAACCATAGATCTTATCCTATGGATCTTATGTTTATGGTCAAAATAGAAATCAATGGTAAATACATAACATAATAATAATAGTTGCTACATTATAATATGATACAGTTATTATGTTTATATATTTCGTACTCTGGTACCACAGAGAAATTTCGGTAAGCTTGGTAGTCTCATTACAAGAGTACGCTAGCGGTACCGTCAGAAAATATGTACTTCCTGCCGAAACAATTGAAAAGTTGTTCAAGATCTACTCCGTTTGTCTATGGAAAGTATTTTGAATTTTGACATATCTAAACAAAATTTTTTATGTCAATTATAATATGTGTAAAATTTCTTAGAAATAAATAAATAATAAAAATATAATGACTTCTCACAGTTCTAATTGTAAGTATGGTATTTTTTAAGTTTGTTCGTTATTTTACGTATTCTTTTTTAGCATCTGAAGGAAGTCGCTCCGATAATTCAGACTTAAATGCTATAACTAGATATATTGCCGAAAAATTTGGATTAGTAGATAAAGAAGAACGAGAAAAACCAAAGGCAGGTACCTTTAACTCTACTACAATACATTTTCATCTTTCAGTATCAAACAGAATTATTTAATTGCCGTTTAATGTAAATAATAAGTCTAAAATGCTCAGACATACTACTTGCCTATCTCAAAGGGTCAACCAGTGGAAGAAATTAGTTTCCATATCATGGATAAGGTCAAAATACCTTTCTTTCAATGAGGTAAATAACATGGTGCTTAATTAACCAATTGTTTCTTTTGTGCTGTTTGACCCTTGTATTCATCATAACAAATTAATGCTAATGACTTATGATCTGTTAAAATAATTTTAAACAGATTTTAGATGATGTTTCTTTTGATGGCCTGATTAATCACATTAAGAGTAAAGATGTCACAAAAATTATCACAATGGCTGGTGCAGGAATCTCAACATGTAAGAGTTACTGTCTAACTGATCCTCAGTATTCTTATTTCTTGTAATTACAGCTGCTGGGATTCCAGACTTTAGATCTCCAGGATCTGGTCTTTATGATAATTTGCAAAAATATGAGTTACCACATCCCCAAGCTATATTTGAACTGGACTTTTTCTTTGACAATCCGAAACCCTTTTTTGTCCTTGCTAAAGAATTGTATCCTGGCAGTTTTAAGCCTACACCATGCCATTACTTTATAAGACTACTAGCTGAGAAAGGAAAGCTTCTGAGGCACTATACACAAAACATTGATACTTTAGAAAGAGTGGCAGGAATTCCTGATGAAAAATTAGTGGAGGCTCATGGTACTTTTCATACAGGACACTGTGTTCTTTGTCGCAAAGAATATACACAGAATTGGATAAAAGGTACATAATAACAATAAAAAATCATGTAATATTTTTCATTATTATTAAAATCGTAGAAAAAATATTCAATGATGAAATTCCTATATGTACGGCATGTCCTGGAATTGTAAAGCCAGACATTGTGTTTTTTGGTGAAAATTTACCTGATAAATTTCACCATTGCATACAGAAAGATTTTAAACAATGTGACCTGTTAATAATCTTGGGTTCTTCATTGGTTGTTCAACCTTTTGCCTCACTTGTTGACAGGTACTTTTACAATTCCTGTTTAGCAAGGACTAACATTATAACTTCCTTTAGGGTACCACATACATGTCCCCGGTTATTAATCAACCGAGAAAAAGTAGGTCAAACTAGTGGTATAATGTCCATGTTTGGGTTTGGGGGTGGTCTTGAGTTTGACAATCCTGACAATAGTAGAGACATTGCATGGCTGGGGGATTGTGATGAGGGATGTATCCTGTTAGCAGAGAAACTGGGATTTGGAGAAGAACTAAAAAAACTAATAAGCGAGGAACATGCTAGAATTGACCATGAAAATCTTGGAGGGCAGGAAAATAAGAAAGCAAAGGAACCAATTGATATCAAAGCGACAGAAGAAAATTTAACTGAAATTACAGATGTTAAAGAAGAAATAAATGAAATTGAAGTTACAAATGTTAAAAAAGAAATAAATATAAATGAAACTACAAATGTTCAAAAAGAATTAACTGTAATCAAGACTACAAATACTAAAGAAAAAAACATAGCCGAATTTACAAATACTAAAGGAAACAAGCAGGATATTGTCAAAGGAGAATGTTCAAAACGTAAATCTCCAAAAAAGCCTATTTCACCAGGTGTGACAGTTAAGCACTCCCAAAAACAGAAAGAGTTGGAAAAACCGTAAAATTCAGTTCAGAAGACGGTGCTGGAGTGAAAATAAGTCATTGCTTAATAAATAATAGATTTCTACAATAATTTGTCATAAGGAACACACAGTTAATAAATGTTTAATTTTTTGAAATTATTTTATTTTAATGTACATTAAAAACTTACAAAATTTCAGTAACTGCGACCAAACAAGCAATAGTATTGCGGCTTTTCTTTGCAATCAGGGTGAATGCATTTGTCAGTAGATTTAATAGGAGCGGGTTGATCGAAGGGGATGCAAAGGGATTTCGCGCCCATAGCTGGTGCACCCGCATCTACGACTTCGTCCCTGAAAATATTAATGATTAACCAATTAATGAAAAAATAACTATTTTTGACAATAAAGATTCTTATTTATACATATAATATTAAGTTATTAATGTTTTTAATGTCTTACCTGGCACTTTCTGCTTTAATTGTATCTTCACATAGTGTGTTACCACAAAATGGAGCTAAAATGATGTTCTTATTATCTAAATTAGTTGTGAACTGAGACCAATCAGTTAACACAACAGTATGGTTTTGTAAATCTTTTTGTGCTCTAAAAGAAAATATCAACTGATAAAGAAATCCCACAAAGTCGTTAGATAAGCATTTATGTCAATTACTACTACTACCACTCATCAGGAGTAATTCATCTAACCCTGTTATAAAACATACCGATCATATAAGTTTTTCTGTATACTTTCTAGTAACTGTTTCAAATCTGACGAGGCATTACTGCGTTTTATTATCAGTTTTTCTCCAGTATCTCTTCTAACAGCTACAAGTTGTTTATTTTTTATATCTTTAGGCCCCAATTCGACTCGAATAGGAACACCCTTAAAATATAATCAGTAAATTAGTATAAAAGAAGTTGACGCAAATTAATAAAAAAATGCCTTTAACTCCCAATGATTAAACTTCCATCCAGGAGAGTAATTGTCCCTGTAGTCTCCTTTAACTCGTATTCCGACTTTATTAAGTTCCTCTTCTAAAAGGTCACAGGATGATTGAAGTTCTTTTCTGTCTGTTTCTGATAAATTAACACTGATGCCGCAAGGCACTACAACAACTTGAACATTTGCCACTTTTGGAGGTAAGACAAGACCTTGATTATCCGCATGAATCATAATCATGACGCCTAAAAATTACGGGATTTAATTAATAAACGAGAAGGCAGTTTGAAATTTATTTACCTATGGTTCTAGTGGTAAATCCCCAAGAAGATTGATACACAAACTTCTTTTCTTGCGTTTCAGGGTCTTCATAAATAATATCAAACATTTTCGAAAAGTTCTGACCCAAGAAATGCGATGTAGCTCCTTGGATGCCCTTGCCACTCGCGGAAATAAATGCTTCTACTGTTAAGGTGTAATCTCCACCAGCAAATTTCTCTTTTACCGTTTTTTTACCAGGAATAACCGGGATAGCAAGAAGTTCCGTGTAAATTTGTGCATAAAGATCTAAATACATTTTAATTTAATATTTAGCAAATACAATTCATTAAATAACGTAAATAACTTACCTAAAATACATTTAACTTCTTCCTCAGCCTCTTCTTTGTTTGCATGAGCTGTATGACCTTCTTGCCAAAGAAATTCTCTTGTTCTAATAAAGGGCGTAGGATGTTTGAATTCCCATCTCTAATAGAAAAACAAATAAATAGAGGCTTAAATTCTGCAGAAACATTACATACCACAACATTATTCCACTGGTTTAATCTGATGGGCAAGTCCCTATAAGATTGAATCCATTTTGCATATGCGGGATACATTACAGTTTCTGAGGTAGGACGAATTGCAATGGGTTCGGCTAAGTCAGAATCACCAGACTTTGTCACCCATGCAACCTAAAATTATAACATTTTTGTAAGATAATTTTTTAATGTTGAAATTATAATATTTTGACTAACCTCTGGGGCAAAATCTGTAATATGAGCTTTTTCAGTTTCCAAAACGGATTTGGATACGAAAATTGGAAAGTAGCAATTTTGGACCCCCCGTTTTTTTATTTCTATGTCAAACCAGTTTTTGAGTACTTCCCAAATAGCAAACGCCCACGGTCTGAAAATATAACAACCAGAAACGTCGTAATATTCTATAAGTTCTCCTTTAGTGATCACTTGTGAATACCAATCTGCTAAATCTTCTTCTTTTTTTGCTTCCAGGCCCAACCTCGTCTGCTTTTTTACGCCACTTCCTTCACTCTTTTATTCGAAAAAGAAAAGACCAATTACAATCATATAAATATTTCTTGTATAATTTTTTATTCTTACATCAACGAGCTTTTTTTCTTTGGAAATAGGTTTTTGATGTGTAGCAGCTTTTGGCTTTTGTTCTTTTTTCTTTTCAGTCTTTCCACCAGAAGGAAAGTCAGTACCAGTTAAGTTTTTATACTCATTTTTAAGGGCTAATAATTTTGAAACTTCTGCATCAATTTCTTCCTAAAAAAAAACAATTTCGTACTAAAATAAGATAAATAAGGTCTTTAGTTTTTTTCCCACTACCTTTTTGGCTCCATTAAGTTTTAATTGTCTAACTAAGTTTCCTTGTTCACTGATTTTCGCAGTAAGAGCAGAACTATTTTCAGTATTTCTGCTAGTAGAATTATTAGTCGTGGTATTCCCTCCAGGCGTCCAATCTCTTCCAGTCATTTTTTTATATTCCTCTTTTAATTTTAACAACATTTTTACTTCAATATCAATTAATGACTTGTCAACTTTCTCTAATAGGATAAGAGCCAAAGGCATGTAAAAAAAAAAATAGTAATCAAAATAAATTACTTACCTGCTTTTAAATTTCTAACTTTGTTGCCTTGCTCACATATTTTACTATTAATAACTGATTCATCTAAGTCATTCTAAAAAAGAAAAATACCT